TAATATACAGCCACATAACCATGTGTGTAGTGAACTGGGTGTGTCATATAGTAACACACAAGTTTGCAGATAGACCCTTGCACTTGCTAGTGCACGCTAATAAAGAAAATTGCATGTGCATTAGCTAACTTAGTTATGGGCGATGCGTGACGAGGGGAATGATGAGTGAAATTAACCGCTGGCTGGACGCAACAGTCCAGATTAAGTGATAGCTGAGTGGGAGACGTCTACTCTTATATAGAGTCTGAGTGTGGACTTGTGCATATGAGTGTGCATCACTTTGCTCACTTGGTAGAGCTTGCACCCCATGTACCAAGGCAGAGTCATTGCTGCAGCAGCCCAGGGTTCATATCCGACTTGTGGCCCTTTGCTGGGTGTCATACCCCCTCTCGACCTCTTATTTTACAGTTCAGTCAATCAAAAAAATAAAAATGTCTTCAAACTAAAGAAAATAGTGTGGTCTAATTTCTGTGGTAATAAGCCTAACCGTACTTGTGTAGAGACATTCTCACAGAGGTATGTGAGTTTTTTCAGCACTGATGGAGCATTGAACTCACCTTTGCTGTTGGGGGTATAGAGGGTCTTGTCAGTTTGGATGAATTTCTTTTGCAGTGCTGAGGGTCACAGATGAGAAGCCAGCCTTTTGGTTTTTGTTGGACAATTCTTCACACTGATTTTGACCCTGATATCAGTACAGTCTTGACACTCCACAAAGGAGTTCTTACCTAGAACACTGAAAATATTTGACTTGCATTTGTGTGCAGAGGAGTTGGTAGGGACCTGGTCATGGGTGACTTTTCCACACAGAAGCTATACTGCAAACCTTTGCTCTTATGGAGTTGCCAAAGATACTACAACACCGACGTGGAAAGTGAAAAAGACACTGCAAGAGAAGGATGTTGTTTTCAATGGAGAAGTCTGCTCAAGAGTCTCACTCTTATGACCAAACATTTAACATTGCACACTTTGTCTGAGTTGAAATTGGTTTGCATTTGCATTTCTTTTTCTTTTTTGCATTTCTTTTGGAAAATAAAAACTCAGTGAAGCATCTTTTATTTTTTTGTTTGCCAGATATGATGACTCAGGAAGCAAACGGAGAAATGTTGCTGTCCTTAAACCATTGACAGTATTATAGTAGAATTGAAAATTAACCTGAAAATTAAAATAATATGAAATGTTTATTTATTGGCAGACAACATGTGCAAAATATTCCAGTGTGCTTCTTAGGGACACAACTTAAACCATATCAGCCTACGCTCGTTATTGGAGCATTACAAATATACAGTTTCCCACAGAATGGCAGTGCGACTGTGGTGAGGGGGGAGTGATATATTTGTATTTCTAATTTTAGGGTTAGGGTTAGACACATCTATCTAACACACACCAGCTTTCTGCTTCTCTCTCAAGGTATCATGTGTCTGCTCTGTTGATTTTGTTGTCTATAATATATTTTAGTCACCCACAAACACAAGTGATGTCTTCTATGATGTCTATTAAAAACTTAACTGTGTTTTTCTTGGTCAGTGCTTGCAAAGAATTTTCCATCGTGTCCACCATATAACGTCTCTCTCTTTCTGTCTCTCTCCTTCTCTCTCTCTCTCTCTTTCTCTCTTTGTTTCTCTGCAAAATACTAAAATGAGATGCTGGTTATAGCAGGTGGCCTGCCTAAGAAAATCTATGTGGTTCAAAGACCGTATAACTTCCTGTGGAATAAAATGAATGCATCCTCTGAATGGCTGTTCTGTTCCCCTTTGTAGAGACTGCCGATCAATCTATTTAGAGTGAATATTGGCTCATAATGATTGGTGACCAATCAATCGAAACATATATAAATATACAGTACATATATATGACAGAAAACTAAGGAAGAGCATCATGGGTCTCCTTTAAAAATATAGTTACTGAACCACATGCTGTTTAGGATTTACTGACTTACTGAGAAACTGAGGAATACTGACAAATATACTTAATGTTTTTATGTTATTATGTATTTCTTAACAGTTATTTGAGTGTTACAAAATAACTTATTTGCTCAGATAAGGATATTCTGCCCTAGCATGGACTTCATATGTAATGAGTGATCTATTGATTATCTTGGCTAAGGACCTGCAATGGATCAATTCAATATTTCATCATTGTTTGGGACTGGTTGTTTGTTTGTTGTGTCTGACATATTTCATCACTGTGCAAATTCAATTTACTGGCATCATTTAAAGGTCCACAGCACCTTGACTTATGCTACACAAACACAGGTGAAATGGAACAAAGTTAAGCTCTTACTCCCAATATCTGTCAATACTGTATGAATTACTGTAAATGATTACAAATGCAGAAAGTCCCTTGTTATTGATCTCATTACAATTTTTCTGCATTGTCTTAATATATTTTCTGAAAAACTATTAAAATTCTCAAAACATTAGAAAAAATCATATGGAATTACAATTTCATTAAGAAAATTCAGGAATTCTGGGTTCAGAAAGCTTTGATAATCTGGTCTGTCTTAAAACAATAGTCACATGCCCATATGTACATTGAAAGGCCATTAAGAGATCACTAAAAGTGTTGTAAAGTCTACAGTCTTAGGTTTAGTGGCTTTTCCATGAACTTTAGGGTTGACTTTACACCATTACATTCATTTACATAATGTGTCTCATCAATATATAATTCAATAATGCAGGATCTTACTCTATAATACAGTATTGTATTTATATGTTGTTGCTTTATTAAACTTTCTTACTACTTAACACAAGTTTATAATTTGAAATCTCACCCATTCAAATAAGGTAGGCTACATAATAAATGTAAATAATTTGTAGATATTCATTTAATTTTGTCTTGAGGGGGCATTTGTTTAAATGGAGTACTCATTCAGGGTACTTTAAGGTTTGGATTTGGACCTAAAATTAAAAAAATGAATACGTAGTATGTATACATGATACAATTTAATTGTATTTTTCAGCATGGAACTAGACAAGGGTTCTCCTTTCATTATTATTCTCCAGTGTGATGGAGCCACTAGACATATCAATGTCAAACCACATTGTAATTGGCCTTAACAGAACAAGATAGAGAAGGTAAAAGATTTATAATAAAAAAAAATTAAATAAAAAATAAAATGAATAAAAATAGACTTCTTATACATAAACGAAGAGAGTAGTTGTATAGGGTCTATGACCTAGCGTGTTCATAGAATTTAAAGCCTAGGCACTGATTGTTGATTGTTTGGCATTGTGCATTCTTGCTACTGGCAGCTCCATATATGCTATATCCAATAAAGACTGTAGCCAATGAATCTGAAAAAAGCTGAAAATGAGGAGGTTGTCAGTAGAGGGCTAACTTTTTTTTTGCTGCTGTCAAACCAGCTAAAAGTGTTTGTGTCTGATAAAACTGGAGGCTTACAGCAGAGGTATCATTCAGTAGGAGCAGCTTAGGACAATATGGCACTTTAGTGTTAAGTTGGATAATGTTATTGATACCATTTTCCAAAAAATACACTACTTCTGGGCAATTCCAGTATGTGCAGAAAAGACCCCATGTCCCCATTAGGGCATAACTCACAATTAGGAGAGGATTTGAACTTTATCAAGTCGAGCGTTCTAGGAGTGAGATACATTCTTTGCAAAAATGTAAACTGAACTAAACTGTTGACCAGCAAATTTCATTGACAGAACAGCCAAGATCCCTAGTCCACATTTGATGGACTGCTAGAAGTTAGTAAGTATATCCTGGATACTAAGCTTCTAGTATGACCTCACACATCTAGCAGAGAATGGAGTGAATGAGTTATTAATAAAGCTTCACCCCACGAGATCCCATAGGTATGCATTGCTAACCTGAGCCAGAGGTAAAAGAAAAAAGACCTTTATATACAGAGCACAAACCAATAAATTATCTCATCCCTTTATCAAAACAACTGACAGCGTGTCAACACCCTTTGCAGACCACTGAGAAAACTGATAGGGGGCTTTCCCTGTAATAAGGTTGAAGTTATTAGATATGGCGCTATGCGTCCATTTTAGAGAGGTCTGGGTGTGATTTTCAACTAGTAAAAAAAAAAAACCCATGACTGGACCAAGCTGGCACAAAGGTTTATGGGGCAATGCAGAATAAACAAGGTCTTGTAACCGATGAGGCAAGGTTCTATTGGTCTATATGAGATATGAGCATTCCAGCATTAGAGTCAAGTCCAATATGAAAAAGAAGTTTATCACTGAGGAGAAATATCCATTTTAAATTATGGAGATTCAAGCTGATAACAAGTTCTTCATGGAAATCAGATTTATGGATAAAGATTTAACACTGGAAATATTAGGAGGGAGTACAGATTGATTTAATAGAGTGATTAAGAGGCAATGTTTGGGACTTGGACCAATATGATCCTTCGTAAACACATAGATTAACTAAACTGGGCAAAAACATCCAAAATATGAAGGATTGAAAGGCGGCATTATTCGAAATAACCACTGATATAATCGTAGTGCAAATAGGGAATGAGAGTGATGTGCTATTGTAAAAAGTGAACTGGGTTCAATAAGGGGATGTTGCCTTATCCGTGTTGGGCGTACAGAGGTTCTAATAAGAAGAAAAAATCAGAACAGATCAATGGGCCAATTGAAGGTAATATCATACAAATATATTGGTATATACCTTGTTAAATTCTTACACTGTCAGTAACAGGACTTGGTTGTTCTAGTTCAGTCCATATTTTCCCTCATGTTGATTAACTTTTCCTAATCTGACTTGCTCTGCGACGTGATGAAAAATATAATGCTGCAGTATGATTCCTTATGAACTCCTTTAATAACCCAAAAGCATCCAAGGGTCTTCACACAGAACCTCTATTTTTCTATCCTTTAAAATATCACAGTATTTCTGAAATCATTTCGACATTACATAAATATCTTTTATGCACTGGATGTACAATTTACTTTCTTTATATTATAATGTTTTTTGCTAATCAATTTAGCCAATGAAACCACAAATACATTTTCCACTTGCATAACTTGCAGTGGTTTTAACAACAGCTTAAATGCACCCTATATTTCTGCCTGTATGATCATACATGAGTTCATATTATATGTCAGTCATATATTCTGCGCATCACAGTCGATTTTTTAAACAACACTTTGCCCTTCATTTTACATTGCTAACTTACCCATAGCCCTTTACTCCACTGACCCTCAAAAATTATCAAATGTTGAAACTTCAACTTCAAGTTGAACTTAACAAAGCTTAGTATTGACAGTAAATCAATATAACAGTGATCACCTTTTGTTAGTTTTCATAATCCACAGTAAATATGTATATACGATTGACAAAGCAACGAGATTTAGGACCATAACAGTGTTACATTAAATGCAGTGTAATATTGCACCCATTTAGCAGCCTCATATTTTATAGCAGTGGAGGCTTTTTTGAAAGAACCATTTCTTGTTTCCACTACTGCTGACGATCCAAAGGTTCATTACCTGCCATTCCAGGTCTCATATGCCCCGTACAGGTATTTTTTCATATTCCCTCACAGTTTGACACTCTGGCTTCTGCAGGGTCCAGATACTCGACTCCCCAACGTTCTCTCACCCGACGACATACTTGTATACCTGGTAGGAGAACAAGTTGAAATAAAATGAGTCTTCATGTGGCCAGCTGTCTGTAATTAACGGCTGGCACAGAACATTGAAAACATCCTTATAAACTTCCTCGATTCGCTATCAAAAAAACTGTAGATTTAATGTTTAATCTACTCAAAAAAGCAGTAACAAGTAGATACAAGAAGAGTGAATCTTAATTTAGATAGCTTGAAACTGTTTAGATACTTAGACATAATGAAATAATAGAGAACAATACATTACATGCACATTACGTCCAAAGAAGAACTTACAATTGATTTTCCTGTCTTTGTAAAATATCTTTGGATGTTTCCCGAGTGACAAGGTAGGTTTTTTTTGTTCTCCTTAGATCTAAAGCCTGCCTGTAAACAGCGAGGGTAACACTGAGAAGTTGTGCACTAGTTTCACCCCCTGAGAACCCACATCAGTCAGTTTCTGTAATATAAAATATATAGGAGGAGAGAAGAGAAGGTATTTATTATATGCATAGTTAAAGGGTCCTATACTAACATTATGTTGTATTTTCGCATATTCCCAGGTGCGAGGTGCACGCCTTAATCTTTTAGGAATCTAATCCCATAATATTTCGGAGCTACAGCATCTTACTTAGTTTAAGCTTTAAAGACGTGATCTCTCCAAGTCAAATAAACACTTACACCTACCCAGCACTTTAAGTCTGTGTCATTTATACTGCCATGACAAAACATTACATATTCCCTTTTTATGGCAGGGGTTAAATACTGACTATTTGTCTTGGCCAGTACTTTCCCAGATATCCACTGGTTGCCTGACGATGCAAGCTAAGTAGCTAGAGCTGCTAGTCATAGGTTCATATTTAAGCAATAATCTATGTAAGCTCTTCTCATCTAACTCTCTGCAAAAAAGTGAGTAAGTGGTGTTTCCCAAAATGTCAGACTTCCCCTTTAAATGGGCAATCATTTTAATGTCTAACTGGAAACTCCATTAAGATACAAAGTGCCCATAAAATGTCAGAAAGAGGCAAAAAATACCCACCTTCTTTGATGACTTTCAGTACCCGCATTGTGTAAACATCAGTGGACAAACCATCTTCAAACTTCTGCAGTTCCACTTTGTACACTGAGGACAGTCAAGTTGCAGATTGTTAGCTTGCTTGCTCCATAACCTACTTATTCTTTCAGTCTCTTACTTACACAAACATACAAGTCTGGATAAAAGCACAACATAAATGCAGTCAATTTACAGTCTCTTACCAAAATCTATTTTGGTGGTCTCAGTACTCTCGCAGGCCTTAGCTATGCGATCCTCGTTGTCGATGTCGCCTTTCTTCTGCATACTGCAGTTCTCTGGAAGTACACAATAGGAACAGTAATATACAACTGATGAAATGATTAAAAATAAGCACATGTGGATGCATCAGTGTCCATGGATTAGTTGATGGATGAGAGCAGGTGTATCTAAGTCACAATGTAAGTATGTTAGTGACTCTGATTGTTGCTCTGATTGTACAGGATCCTGCCGTTGCTTGTTGCCGCTGACAGAAAGTTCTGATGGTTATGTTACAATCTGCTGATTTACTGTAAAACTAATTGCCCGACCAGCTCCTTTTAAATAGACACTTTACTGGTGGTAAAGTCGTAAAGTGTACCCGTAACAAGGAATAGACTACTAATTACCCTGAGAATATGATGGTATATTTTTCTCAGTAGCTCTGAAGGGAGATTTATAAAGCTAGAGAGAGTAATTCTAGTGATGCATGGTTTGACCATCATTTTTAGCCATTTGAAACAACTGAAATAGCTGAAACATTTCAACAACAAATTGATTAGTTTTCATGAAATACGCTAGAGTTAACATGAATTCTAATTACTATGATGTCCTGAATTTTCCTCTAGCACAACCAGCAGGTCGATCACCTCTATTAAGCACAATGTTAGATGTAAAAAATTTATGTTTAAAATAGACGGATGAGGTTGTCAGTTAAAAACCATCCTGTTTACCTTCAGCACATTCTCTGCATACACCATGTCTACAGAGCTGCAGAAGCTCTCCAGCTCTCCTCTCTGGATGGTAGAACTTCACACAAGGTGTCTCTGCAACAAGAAAGAAAGAAATTCAAAAAATGTTTTTAAATTATTCCAGTCCATCAGATAATGTACATAATACGTTAAAAAGCTAATGATGAATTGTGTTATCTACTTTGACATCTACTGGCAGCAAAGAAAAAATATCTGGAACTACTGTATGTTGCTAAGCTTCTCTGAGACTCACGGTTATTGTATTCATAGACAGACACAGCAGCTGGTTGTAAGACGTCCACTCTCATCTGCTGATGGATCCTAAAAGTGATCTCCTCTGGTTGTATGTTAGAAACCTGTGGAGAGATGTAAAACGATAGAGATAACAAAATAAAGAACAAGGAAGAGAGAAAACAGAAGAGGAAGAAAGTGTTGTCTTACCTTGTTCAGGTAGATGGTGACTGAACTTCCTTCTGACAGGGCTGAGTTTAACTCATATCTTGCAATGATGCGGGCAGGTCCTTTGGATAACTATACACACACATACACAAAGTCATATCATTTTCTAAACCATAAAACACTTGGCTTTTGAACTGTACACTATGTGGGTATCATTGAAGGTTCTTACTAAGTTCAGGTCATTTGTGTTAGCGGTGAAGCCAGTTAACAAGCCAATATCCAAAATTGACATGGTTGAATTACGCCGTATGTCCTTAAACCTGTACAAAACATTGACAGAATAATTAAAATAACAGTATACAGAAGATGTAGAGAAAGAAATTTTTTTTATCAAATGTCAAATCAAATGTCCTCTAAGATGGTTTCAAAAGCAATTCAAACTAGTGGGAATGGGCAGTTCCTATTAGCTTAAATGGGTGTGAAAGCTTATTTAAAAGAACACTGAAGAAGTTTGCACCATCATATTTTTCTGATGAAAGTGTGAAATAGGAGTGGATAACAAAGAACTTATGGACAAGGAGTGCAGGACAATTAAAAACTGACTTGTTTTGACAATGATGAAGAAAGAGCAGTCTCTCAAAGAGAGAAAGAGAAGAAAAACGCTGGCAGAGCACTGGGGAATGTTAGTATAAAGCAAAAAATGCTGCATGTTCATTTTGTTTCTCTGACAACAATACAGCAAATGATTTGCTATTAGTTTAACAAACATGCTGTGGTTCTGTAAAGCAAATTGCAGACAAAGTAGTTGAAAATATTGCTTTACTACTTTTTCTTCATTTTACTCATGTTGTCATCAACTTCCTTCACTTTATCGGGTTCAGTGTCTCCAGTGCAGCACTGTTTTCCTTCCTGATTGCAGCTCTGCTCCACACCTATCTGCATTCAATTTACCCAGTCTGCTCACCTGCCTTCAACTAACTCATCTACTAAACAGTATGTCTACTCCGGTTCTCCATCTACTCTTTACCAGATCATTCAGTCTACAATGGGAGTTTACACCTCGACATTCATCCATCCATCTATCCTCAGACTACTCCTCACCTGCCTGCCTGCCTACCTGCCATCTTTGGTAAGCCATCGCCTCAACCCTCTCATCATCTTCTCCATCATATTTTTCTGGAATACAACCAACTTAACTTTACCTGACTCTGAATCTGTCTTGCATCTGGGTCCACACCTCTATCAAACATAACAATATTCACAACCTTTACTCTTTGATAAATAGACTTGTTCTGCACTGAAAAGTATGCAGTTAAGAACTAATCAAACAATATCAGGGAATGATGTTAAAATGTATCCACTCAATCAATTTACAATTTCGTCAATTTACCTAATAATATTAAAAGTGAGAGGGATATAGGATTTAGTGGCATCTAGCAGTGTAATTGCAGATCACAACTCTGTCTGTCAAAAACAGAATGCCCCGCACTACTGCCTGGTTGTGGCAACTGAGTCTTGTTGTTGTTGTTGCTTGTTTGTTTTTCCCCTCTGGTGCCTTAAAGTCTTGTTATACAGTCATGGACGAAAGTATTGGCACCCCTGGAACCTTTCCAGAAAATGCACCATTTCTCCCAGAAAAGGGTTGCAATTACAAATGTTTTGGTATACACATGTTTATTTCCTTTAAGTGCATTGGGACAACACAAAAAAGCAGAAGAAAAAAGCCAAATTTGACATCATTTTACACAAAACTCAAAAATTGGGTCGGACAAAATCATTGGCACCCTCAACTTAATATTTGGTTGCACACCCTTTTGGAGAAAATAACTGAAACCAATCGCATCAACAAGTTTCCTACACCTCTCAACTGGAATTTTGGACCGTGTTCTATGGGATATAGATCCGGACTCATTGCTGGCCACTTCAGATTCTCCAGCGCTTTGTCTCCAACCATTTCTGGTGCTTTGGTGAGGTATGTTTGGGTCATTTCCTGCTGGAAAAACACCCAATGACCTCTGACGCAGACCCAGCTTCTGACACTAGGCCTCATTACAGGCAAAATCTTTTGGGATAGTTCCTCCAGATTTCATGATTCTTGCACACAATCAAGCACCCAGTGCCAGAGGCAGCAAGACAACTCCAAAAAATCTTTGAACCTCCACCATATTTGACTGTAGGTACCGTGTCCTTTTTTTTGTAGGCCTCATTCTGTTTTCTGTAAACAGTAGAATGACGTGCTTTGCTAAAAAGCTCTACCTTAGTCTCATCTGTCCACAAAACATTCTCCCAGAAGGAATGAGGCTTACTCAGTTATGTTCTTGCAAACTGCAGTCTGGCTTTTTAATGCCTTTGTGTCAGAAGTGGGGTTCTCCTCGGTCTTCTGCCATAGCGCTTCATCTCATTCAGATGACGACATATGGTTTGAGCTGACACTGTTGCACCCTGAGTCTGCAGGACAGCCTGAATTTGTGTCGAAGTTGACTGAGGTTGTTTATCCACCATTCGAACTATCCTGCGTTGCATTCTTTCATCAATTTTTCTCTTCCGTCCACAGGGAGATTTGCCGCAGTTCCATGGGTTATAAACTTTGCGCACAGTTGACAAAGGAACTTTAAGATCTCTGGAGATTGACTTGTAACCTTGAGGTTGTTGATATTTTTCCACAATTTTGCTTCTTAAGTCCTCAGACAATTCTCGGCTCTTCTTTCTCTTCTCCATGCTTGGTGTGGCACACACAGGCACACAATACAAAGGTTGAGTCAACTTTTATACACTCTAACTGGCTTCAGTTTCGATTTCTATATTGCCAGCACCTGTTACTTGCTACAGGTGAGTTTAAACGAAGATCACATGCTTGAAATGAAATTATTTCCAGTCAATGTTTGGAGTTTTGTGTAAAATGATGTAAAATTTGGCTTTTTTCTTCTGCTTTTGTGTGTTGTCCCAATGCACTTAAAGNNAAACATGTGTATACCAAAACATTTGTAATTGCAACACTTTTCTGGCAGAAATGGTGCATTTTCTGAAAAAGTTCCAGGGGTGCCAATACTTTCGTCCATGACTGTAACTGTTGCCATTAGTGTGATGGTGGTTATTCCTTTTACGTTTGTAACTGTATCTCTCTTGGGGGTGGGAGGGTATACGGTGGGCCCAGGAGGAAAAATGGTGTCACATTAATACTTGTTAGTATGACTTTTTGATTATACTTACAAAACTTTTAGTGTCAGCTTGTATGTTTTCCCATCACTTTCTGCAGCAGAAAAAAAATCAAAAACAATTGTTAATTCCCTTTTATTATAAAAGAAAAATAATTGGCAGGAAGATGGATAGAGAACAGAAAAAACTAACAACAAACAAGCAGACAAACAGATAAAATGACAACGAACAAAGACAAATTACCTGGGCTGAACTCCACTGACAAGTTAAATTTCTGACAATCGCTTTCCTTTTCTTTAGGCAGAGCGTAATACAGTGACACCATCTGTCAAACAGAAAAGTGCATCTTCAATAAAATATATACAATGCCTTGTCACCGGGACAAAAGCATCAAGGGATTGTTGCAACACTCTTGTAATAACCCTAATACAGGAAATTACCATTGCACTGCTACATGTGCTAACTGTACTAGCTCCCGCCACTAGCTAGTTAGCAGTCCTGTTAGCTGACTGTACCCGGACTGCGAGCTCAAAGAGGGAAGTATGTTTACACCGCTAGCATAGGAGTTTTGAACTGCTGGGAAGAGGAGGCTTTCAGGCTTGGGGCCAGGGGCATCAAAGCGAGCAGTCAACAAAGCCGGGCTCAGCAGCCTCCCTGTGACTACGGCTGGGACCAAACACAGCCTTCGACACTGACAGATTTACAACTGCTTCAACCAGAACTATGACTCCTGGACGACAAAGACACGGTGGGTTCAGGCAGACAGGAGAGGCATGAAGCAAGAGGAGCGTGTTTGTAGTGAGGTAAGTAACAATATACATATTGATAAGTGTTCGTTTTTGTGAAGTTATTTCTTCTACTTTTCTGCTATCAAGTTGGCACTTCTTTATTAGACATGAGCAATGTTTCTTTATTATCAGGCTATGTACCACAGTCCTTTAAAGTACCTGTAATTAAACCCCTTCTTAAAAAGCCCTTTCTTTTTTTCTAACCTTTCTTTTTTTCTAACCCCTTTCTCTCTAAAAGTCTGGAGAAAGTAGTCGCAAAACAGTTGTGTGACTTTCTACATAGCAACAGCTTATTTGAGGATTTTTAGTCAGGATTTAGAGTTCATCACAACACAGAGACAGCATTGGTTAAAGTTAATAACAATCTTTTAATTGCCTCCGACAATGGACTTGTCTCTGTA